TCTCCCGTTGCAGAGCACAGGCTCCGGATGCGCAGGCTCAGTGGCCATGGCTCACGGGCCCAGCCGCTCCGCGGCATGTGGGATCTTCCCGGACCGGGGCATGAACCCGTGTCCCCTGCATCGGCAGGCGGACTCTCAACCACTGCGCCACCAGGGAAGCCCATGAGTCCATTCTTTACAACGTTTTAAACCTCCATTTTCCTCAAACCTTTATTCATCTCTTTACCCCCAACGGTTCTTGGATGACTTTACCTTCAACTTTATAAAGGAAGTAGAACCCATCTAATGGGAGCTCCTTCAGTTTCTCACATTAAATTGCAAACCCACTTTCCTGCACTCGTCTTCTCCATCTTCCGTCCTGTTACAATGGAGAGATTCCCTCCTCCTATGAAGGCCAGTCCTTCCCTCCTTCTCAGGGACCGTTTTCTGTTTCCTCTCTTTTCTAGATCTTTAGCCTCGTTTAAGTATTAGATCCACATCCAGCTAATCACCAGGTCCTAGCCATTCTAGCACCTGAGTGTGTCTTGAATCTGCCCACTTGTCTTAACTCCTTTGTCATCACTGTGATCTATTCCGCTATCATCGCTTACCTGAACTAGCTTACCAGCCTCGTAATTGGTCTCCCCATATCTGTTCTTCCCCCCTCAAATCCATCATCTACGGAGCAGCCAGAGTGGTGGTGTTACAATGCATGTCCTATCAGAGTATAGCCAGGTATGAACATCTGGGGAAGGGTATGTATCTTTTGTTGGTGCAGGAACTACCTTCTCCATGGATCATATTTTCTCAGTGTCACCCTGCCTTCTCTAACATCATCTCCTTGACAAATGTATATCAAGCTGTTACCTTCAAATTGTTGAAAGGGTTAATAATTTAAGTGTTCAGGGGGTTTACATGCATCCCATTCTCCCCACAGCTGCTCTTCTGTGTCTGATCATATGGCTTCTCTGCATAAAACCCTTATTTAGCTTCTTCCCGCACCCTCCTCACCCCAAGACAGAAGCTAAGAATCCTTAGCTCATAAAACCTGACCCCATCTGGCTCTTGCCAAACTCTCCAGCCTCATCTCACACCACCTTGCTTCTCATTCACTGTTTTAACCACCATAGCCTTCTTTGTGCTTCTGCAATGTGACAGCCCTCTTTCCACATACACTCTCCATCCACACCTGCACTCATACTTTGCTTTCCTAGCTTTTATGTATTCCCCAGGTCTCAGCCCAAGTCTTAATTTGTGGTGGTGGTATGGTGAGTGATTAAAAACCTGGGCTTATGGTCACATTCACCTGGTTCACATTCAGCTCCACTGTTTGAGCCTTACTTTCTGTATCTACAAAACTGGCTTCTATTTACCTCATAGGGTTGTTGAAAGGCTCCAGTACCTTAGTTTAGGTAAAGTGTTTAGCACAACATCTACAATGTAGCAGATAATCCATGCTTTTATCTCTACATAAAGCTAACTTCCCGTAAGGGTCAAATTTTTTTTAATTGACATAAACATTATATTAGTTTCATATATACAACATATATGTGTGTATATTGTGAAGTGATCACCACAATCAATCTAGTTGACATCTATCTTCACACATAGTTACAGGTGGGTCAAATTTTTAAGGTTGACTTTATCATTCTGCCTTAAGCAATGGAGGTAAGGAGTCTGGGTCAGGGAAACTTACTGTCTGTACTCTTTCTACTCTGTTAACACCTCCATCCCATACCCCCTTCCATTTTTTTAAAAATATATATTTATTTTATTTTTGGCTGCGTTTGGGTCTTAGTTGCAGCGTGCAGGCTTCTCTCTAGTTGTGGTGCACAGGCTCCAGTGCACGTAGGCTCTGTAGTTGTGGCGTGCAGGCTCCAGAGCGCATGGGCTCTGTAGTTGCAGCATGCAGGCTCTCTAGTTGTGGCGTGCGGGCTTAGTTGCCCCGCAAGATGTGGGATCTTAGTTCCCTGACCAGGGATCAAACCCTCATCCCCTGCATTGGAAGGTGGATTCTTAACCACTGGACCACCAGGGAAGTTCCCCCCACCCCGCCATTGCCCTTCCATTTTTAACAGGAGCAATAATAACACAGATTTTGTTTGATCATCATTTTTTTTTACCATGACTATTGTTTTTAAAACATAGGCAATACCCAGGACACCTACTATGTGAAAGAACACTAGAAGACATTCCTATTGAAGGCCCTAAGGGGATAGATGAAGATGATCCTGTTAATTCTGACTACAACATGAAACTGACCAAGTTTTCCTTCCAAGTTGATCGGTACAGAAACCTTTTTGGATTTACTTTATTATTTCCATTTTTTGTCATGCTGACACTGTACCTTTTCACTAAAAGTCTTTACAGAGGTAGACACTTTTATTTTCCTAAGTTCATCTTTGCTTGGTTTACTGCTTTACTTTGTGCCTTTCACTGTCACAGATGTAAGTTCTGCCCTATCTTCCAGGTCTTGGAAAGCCCAGCTGTCATCACTGAATGAAACAATAAAGAACTCCAAGCTGGAAGGTACCTGTTGTGCTCCGTGGTTCCAGGATATTTTGCATTTGGAGCCCCCTGTATCTGGTAACCACAGTACCAGTGTGCCAAACTGGGCCTTCACTCCACAGGATGTAATGTGCAGCCAGTATAGTTTTCCACAGAAAGGTCCTGCCAAGACCAGTGATTCAGGAAGATCATGGAAAAGAATACACATCAGTGAACAGGAGGAACCCCTTGAGCTTACATGTATGTCTGTGACAGGCTTCACTGCGCTGTTTACTTGGGCAGTTGAAAGGACGGGCTGTACCATTGTCCTGTGGGATTTGGAGACCCAGAGCATGCAGTGTTTTTCGCTGGGCAAGAAGTGTATTCCTGTAGACAGTGGTGGAGACCAGCAACTGTGCCTTGTTTTGACAGGTGAGAATGTCTTGTATCAGGTTGAAATCCATGCTGAGAGGTGCTCTCTTATCTATTTTACTTCTGCTGCTCGGGTGGTGGTGGTGCCTACTCCTCTAAGCCTAGTCTGTTTGTTTGTTTGCTTTTGTGGTACGCGGGCCTCCCACTGCTGTGGCCTCTCCCGCTGTGGAGCGCGGGCTCAGCGGCCACGGCTCACGGGCCCAGCCGCTCCGCGGCATGTGGGATCCTTCCGGACTGGGGCACGAATCCGTGTCCCCCGTGTCGGCAGGCGGACTCTCAACCACTGCGCCATCAGGGAAGCCCTAAGCCTAGGCTTTGATGGA